CGTCCACCCACCACTGCCGGCTCCCTCTGACACACGCCTCGCTCCCACAACTCTTCACTCCATGACTGCACATTACCAGCTGGGACTGCTGTGTGCTCAACAGTCGCCACAAGCACACCTCATCACAGTAACATCATTATAATAGAAATTGGAGAGGAAATTTCGTGATGATAAGAGATAGTGTGAGTGAAGTGGAGGAAGGCAGGTCATGACAGGTGTACACCTACACCGACATTACACTACGGCAGGAACACGTCCTCTGACACAAACATTGTACCACTCTTACACTATGATTAATTTAACTATTTTCCATAACCTGTAGAACAACACAGCAGTGTCAGCTATGACTACTGAGAGGCTGGTTCATGGTTCTCAGGTGACAGTGTTTACGTGTTTACCTGTGAGCAACAGCTGCAGCAGCAGCCGGAGTACCACCACCACCACCAGGAGTACCACCACTAGCAGGAAGAGTACTACCATCAGCAGCAGCAGCAGCAGAAGAGTCAGCACAATGGCTGGCACAAGTGGATATGGCTATACAGTACTGCTCTTCCTGGTCTCAGGTTGGTACTCTATATTTAAGGTTTTCAGGAACAAAATGTATAACAGAACAAGGCAAGTAGCGGGATGTGAACTCTTACTAGTGTGTTGTCCTCGCCTACCCCACCACCGTCCTCTCCCTCGCACCTTGTAGCTATCTTACAAGTTCCGGGGATCAACGGACCCGTGGCCCGGTCTCCGACCAGGCCTCCTGGTTGCTGGACTGGTCAACCAGGCTGTTTGACGCGACTGCTCGCACCTTGGTTGATCAGGTATCCTTTGGAGGTGTTTATCCAGTTCTCTCTTGAACACTGTGAGGGGTCGGCCAGTTATGCCCCTTATGTGTAGTGGAAGCGTGTTGAACAGTCTCGGGCCTCTGATGTTGATAGTTCTCTCTTGAACACTGTGAGGGGTCGGCCAGTTATGCCCCTTATGTGTAGTGGAAGCGTGTTGAACAGTCTCGGGCCTCTGATGTTGATAGTTCTCTCTTGAACACTGTGAGGGATCGGCCAGTTATGCCCCTTATGTGTAGTGGAAGCGTGTTGAACAGTCTCGGGCCTCTGATGTTGATAGTTCTCTCTTGAACACTGTGAGGGATCGGCCAGTTATGTCCCTTATGTACAGTGGAAGCGTGTTGAACAGTCTCGGGCCTCTGATGTTGATAGTTCTCTCTTGAACACTGTGAGGGGTCGGCCAGTTATGCCCCTTATGTGTAGTGGAAGCGTGTTGAACAGTCTCGGGCCTCTGATGTTGATAGTTCTCTCTTGAACACTGTGAGGGGTTGGCCAGTTATGCCCCTTATGTGTAGTGGAAGCGTGTTGAACAGTCTCGGGCCTCTGATGTTGATAGTTCTCTCTCAGAGTACCTGTTGCACCTCTGCTCTTCAACGGGGGTATTCTGCACATCCTGCCATGCCTCCTGGTCTCATGTGGTGTTATTTCTGTGTGCAGGTTTGGGACCAGCCCCTCTACTATTGTCCACGTGTAAATTATTATGTATCTCTCCCGCCTGCGCTCAAGGGAATACAGATTTTGAACTTTTAATCAGTCCCAATAATTAAGATTACTTATAGAGTGGATTCTAGCGGCTCTGAATGAGGCTGTTAGTGTGTGCAACAATATTCCTCCCTAGAGAGCACTCATGTCTTGAGAAGTATCTTGACTGGTATGGCATCCCTTGTTTGGAAGGTCCTTGTTATCCAACCTGTCATTTTTCTTGCAGTTGTGACGGCTACTTTATTGTGTCCTTTAAAGATAAGGTCTTCTGATCCTTTACTCTGCTTTTCGTTCTAGAGTGACTAGACTGTTTTATAAATGGTTTCCGCTTTGATAATATCCTTTGTTTTCACAGCGCAGCAGCTGGAACTTACCTTCATTAAACATGTTTCTGGGACCCAGTGAAAAAACATATTTACATCACTGATTTGTTGTTGCCGCCGGAGGCAGCTAGTTTATTGTGCACCCCATACTCATCCTGTGAGCGGTAGCGCAAAAGCATTACAGAGGGCACAAAAGGTGTTTATCAGACCTCATCTTAGATTATTACATTAACAATTTCATCTATCCTTCACACCTTATAGTTACATGTCAGCTAGTTACAGAGAAAGTGCTATTACAAGAGCTACATATTTACAGTAAGTCATCATACATTAATGGTAGGTGTTATCGCTAATACATAATAGTTTGACCAATGGGGATATTACAGAGTCATAGGGGAGCTGCTGTTTACTATTAGTCCTCACAATACACTACTTGTTTCTTCATCTCATATGTCGTTTATCTACTGGAAGTGAAATATGGATACAGTGCAAGGATTTCAGGTAATTTATCCATGGTAATAAGATAGGTTGCCATATCATACAGAGTGAGCTTAGATTTATCTCTAAATGGCTCAATTTTACTACAATCCAAGATATAGTGTTCGAGTGTGTGTCCCTGTCTTTGTCCACACACTTTACACTTTACTTCATCTAGATCCCTATACAAGACGAACTGCCAGAGATACTTGTAGCCAAGTCTTATACGAGCTGTGACAACATCTGTTAGTCTACTGACTTTGTTACTTGCCCCATACACATGTTTTACTTCACACATTTCATTGTGATGAACAATGGACCTGCTAGTTCCAGTTGGCACGGTTTCCTCTGTATTGTCTAACCCACGAAGATTCTAGTGACGTCTGCGTATGATGTTATGGGACTCTAGTTGGTGTGGCCTTGTCCACCATGGACATTGAGGGGGGGGGACATGTTGGGGAGTATGGGGGGGGACATGTTGGGGAGTATGGGGGGGACATGTTGGGGAGTATGGGGGGGACATGTTGGGGAGTATGGGGGGGGACATGTTGGGGAGTATGGGGGGGACATGTTGGGGAGTATGGGGGGGGGACATGTTGGGGAGTATGGGGGGGACATGTTGGGGAGTATGGGGGGGGGACATGTTGGGGAGTATGGGGGGGGGGACATGTTGGGGAGTATGGGGGGGGACATGTTGGGGAGTAGGGGGGGAGAGGGGGGAGATAGGGGAAAGATGTTGGGGAGAGGGGGGGTGATGTTGGGGAGAGGGGGGGGTGATGTTGGGGAGGGGGGGGGGTGATGTTGGGGAGAGGGGGGGGTGATGTTGGGGAGAGGGGGGGTGATGTTGGGGAGGGGGGGGTGATGTTGGGGAGAGGGGGGGGTGATGTTGGGGAGAGGGGGGGGTGATGTTGGGGAGAGGGGGGGGTGATGTTGGGGAGAGGGGGGGGGTGATGTTGGGGAGAGGGGGGGGGTGATGTTGGGGAGAGGGGGGGGTGATGTTGGGGAGAGGGGGGGTGATGTTGGGGAGAGGGGGGGGGTGATGTTGGGGAGAGGGGGGGGTGATGTTGGGGAGAGGGGGGGTGATGTTGGGGAGAGGGGGGGGGTGATGTTGGGGAGAGGGGGGGGGTGATGTTGGGGAGAGGGGGGGTGACGTTGGGGAGAGGGGGGGGTGATGTTGGGGAGAGGGGGGGGGGGTGATGTTGGGGAGAGGGGGGGGTGATGTTGGGGAGAGGGGGGGGATGTTGGGGAGAGGGGGGGTGATGTTGGGGAGAGGGGGGGTGATGTTGGGGAGAGGGGGGGTGATGTTGGGGAGATGTTGGGGAGAGGGGGGAGATGTTGGGGAGAGGGGGGAGAGGGGGGAGATGTTGGGGAGAGGGGGGAGATGTTGGGGAGAGGGGGGTGATGTTTTGGGGAGAGGGGGGTGATGTTTTGGAGAGGGGGGGTGATGTTTTGGAGAGGGGGGGGGTGATGTTGGGGAGAGGGGGGGGTGATGTTGGGGAGAGGGGGGTGATGTTGGGGAGAGGGGGGTGATGTTGGGGAGAGGGGGGTGATGTTGGGGAGAGGGGGGGTGATGTTGGGGAGAGGGGGGGTGATGTTGGGGAGAGGGGGGAGATGTTGGGGAGAGGGGGGAGAGGGGGGAGATGTTGGGGAGAGGGGGGAGATGTTGGGGAGAGATGTTGGGGAGAGGGGGGAGATGTTGGGGAGAGAGGCGAGATGTTGGGGAGAGGGGGGGAGAGATGTTGGGGAGAGGGGGGGAGAGATGTTGGGGAGAGGGGGGGGAGAGATGTTGGGGAGAGGGGGGGAGAGATGTTGGGGAGAAAGGGGGAGAGAGATGTTGGGGAGAAAGGGGGAGAGAGATGTTGGGGAGAGGGGGGAGAGAGATATTGGGGAGAGGGGGGAGAGATGTTGGGGAGAGGGGGGAGAGATGTTGGGGAGAGGGGGAGAGATGTTGGGGAGAGGGGGGAGAGATGTTGGGGAGAGGGGGGAGAGATGTTGGGGAGAGGGGGGAGAGATGTTGGGGAGAGGGGGGAGAGATGTTGGGGAGAGGGGGGAGAGATGTTGGGGAGAGGGGGAGAGATGTTGGGGAGAGGGGGGAGAGATGTTGGGGAGAGGGGGGAGAGATGTTGGGGAGAGGGGGGAGAGATGTTGGGGAGAGGGGGGAGAGATGTTGGGGAGAGGGGGGAGAGATGTTGGGGAGAGGGGGGAGAGATGTTGGGGAGAGGGGGAGAGATGTTGGGGAGAGGGGGGGAGAGATGTTGGGGAGAGGGGGGGAGAGATGTTGGGGAGAGGGGGGGGAGAGATGTTGGGGAGAGGGGGGGGAGAGATGTTGGGGAGAGGGGGGGGAGAGATGTTGGGGAGGGGGGGGGAGAGATGTTGGGGAGAGGGGGGGGAGAGATGTTGGGGAGAGGGGGGGGAGAGATGTTGGGGGAGAGGGGGGGGGAGATGTTGGGGAGAGGGGGGGGGAGATGTTGGGGAGAGGGGGGGGGAGATGTTGGGGAGAGGGGGGGGAGAGATGTTGGGGAGAGGGGGGGGGAGAGATGTTGGGGAGAGGGGGGGAGAGATGTTGGGGAGAGGGGGGGAGAGATGTTGGGGAGAGGGGGGGAGAGATGTTGGGGAGAGGGGGGGAGAGATGTTGGGGAGAGGGGGGGAGAGATGTTGGGGAGAGGGGGGAGAGATGTTGGGGAGAGGGGGGGAGAGATGTTGGGGAGAGGGGGGGGGAGAGATGTTGGGGAGAGGGGGGGGGGAGAGATGTTGGGGAGAGGGGGGGGAGAGATGTTGGGGAGAGGGGGGGGGAGAGATGTTGGGGAGAGGGGGGGGGAGAGATGTTGGGGAGAGGGGGGGGGAGAGATGTTGGGGAGAGGGGGGGGGGAGAGATGTTGGGGAGAGGGGGGGAGAGATGTTGGGGAGAGGGGGGGAGAGATGTTGGGGAGAGGGGGGGAGAGATGTTGGGGAGAGGGGGGAGAGATGTTGGGGAGAGGGGGGAGAGATGTTGGGGAGAGGGGGGAGAGATGTTGGGGAGAGGGGGGGAGAGATGTTGGGGAGAGGGGGGGAGAGATGTTGGGGAGATGGGGGGGAGAGATGTTGGGGAGAGGGGGGGAGAGATGTTGGGGAGAGGGGGGGAGAGATGTTGGGGAGAGGGGGGAGAGATGTTGGGGAGAGGGGGGGGGAGAGATGTTGGGGAGAGGGGGGGAGAGATGTTGGGGAGA